TGTGCGGGCTTCTAGGTACTCAGAAAACCTATAGGTGCTCCTTTATACATAAATAATTCATGAATTATTGATTGACGTGTGCCAGGTATTGTTCATGACACTGGAGATTCAAGATTATTAAGATAGTACTTTTTAGTGAGAGACAGATAATGAACAAAAAACCCCAAATCTATCAAAAAGTTATGTAAATGCTTTGAAGAAAAATACACAGCATGTTGTGCACTAAGCTGTCCCTTAGAATGGAGCGTGGCACACAGTAAACGCTGTGTGTGTCATATTTGCATTTTATTGGTGGTAATTTAAATGCGATTAGAGGAGAGGACAGACAATGAAAAAATAACAAGGAAGAGCATCAGACCTAATGAAGTACTCAGGTGAGGAGATGTGACACTGAGTGACTAGGCGCCACTTTAAAATTTTGAGGTCAGGAGTTTTCTGCGTTGGTGACATTTGATCCGAGAGCTAGGTAGCCCACCATTGGAAAGTCCGTGGGTAAAGGTGGGGGCACATTGGGAAGTGACTATCCTGGTGCACAGGCCCACAGCACAGGTCTCTGTTGCAAGACTAGGGAGCCCAGGATGGTTACAGCAGCATGGGTGACGGAGAAAATAGTAGCATGTGCAGTCCGAGAGGTAACTGGAGGCCAGTCACATAGGGCTTTGTGAACAGGAAAAGGCCTTGATTTTACTCTGCCACAGGAGGTGGTGGGGGTGTTTTATGCAACAGCCTGGCTTACGTTTAAAAGACCCCTCTGGCTGCTGTTCAGATGTTGACCTGGATGAGGGCAGGGCAAGAATGGAGGTTGGGACACCTGTTAGGGGGCAGTTGTTGTCGCCCAGGTAAAAGGTGGTGGTATTTTAGGTGAAGGTGGTAGCCATGGGGGTGAAGAGAAATGAATAGACAGAACATGCTGAGCAAGGAGGGCTGATGAGACTTTAGGATGAGATTTGTGGGGTGAGGGGGAAAAGCAAGGCCAGGCTAGGAGCTAGGTTTCCACACAACATGAGACTTAACCTCAGAGTTGAAGGATGACTTGAGTGCAGGGGAGGAGATGAAAGACAGATTTGGCAGTGCTGTCTGGGACGTGGTTTGTGCACACAGATGCTCCTTGCATTTCAGTGACCAGGTTTGGACAGATTTTAGATAAGCCGAATTTTGTGTTGCCATGATAGGTGAAGTGAATTCATCTTTTCTTTCTGTTTGTCTTTGTCTGTTTGAGAAGGGAGGTAGAGACTTACTATAAAATTGTTTAGAAAATGACTGAACTTTGCCTGCCTAGAAATAGCTGCTGCTCAGATAAAACTTAGCTGAGTTCTCCACCATTGACACCTGAGGAGCCAGCAGTGTCACCTGACTGGTTTTCCCGCCAAGATTCGGCAGTACTTTCACTCTTTGGAGAATATTTATTAAACAGAAAGAAATGGAGATAACTTTGCCTAGACATATTACTTAAAGCACATATTTAATATTTTGATACACATTCACGTCGTTCAAATATCCACGTGCAGTTTCCCTCCCCACCGTCCGCCCCGTTCCTCCAAGCCCGTCCCATACTGCTAAGCTCTCGCTCCCTTTGCATTTTTGAGATCCTTCCATATCATTGTGTAAAGGACGTCCTCTATCTTTTGTCTTCCAGTGTACGAATGTGAGGATTTATTTACTCAGTCCTTTATTGGTGAACATTTAGGCTGTTTCCAATTTCTCGTTGCAGTGAATAGCCTTGTTCACGCATCTGTCATATTGCATATGGGCAGGTATGATTGTCGGGTAAATTCACGAGTGCAGTTACTGCTCAGAGGGGTGTGCTTCCCGAATCCGACAAACTCTTCCAAGCTGTCTTTCATAGAGGTTGTGCCATCCACACATCCCTCGGAGGACCTGGTTTTTCACATCATTGCTGACTGAGTGTGCTGTCCAGGTTTTAGATTTGCAGGTCCTGCCAAGGTTTAAAATAGTAGTTTTATTCTTTATTTTTTATATGTTGAAGGGCCTATTTTTCTTTTATGTGCGTTCTCATTTTTCTTTACCCATTCTCCTTAGTAGGATGTCAGTCTTTTTTCTTTTTTTTTAAAATATATGTAGGAATATTTCCTAAATTAGGAATATTAGCCCTTTGTTGGAAATAAAATGTAAACATTTTTTTCTTTTTAAATTTGTTTTGTGGTACCTTTTCATGTAAAATTTTTGATTTTTTAGTAGACGAGTTTGTCAGTCTTTTTTTAATGTTACAGATTTTTGATAATAGCTGTAACAGCCTTTCCTCTACTCAGGTTTTCTTCTAGTGCCGTGTTCCAGTATTGTCATTTCACTTTTGACGTTTAAGTGTTTAACTCACTTGGACTTTATCTTGACATAAAGGTCCAAGTATGAAACTGCTTTCACTTTTGCTTCAGACGATGCCAGTGGTCACAGTGACACGACACCTGCCTTGCCTTCCTTCGTCCTTTCCTCATTGCTGCACCCTCCCCGCCCCTGTATGTGGAAAACCTCAGTTCAAGCTCCACTTCTTCAGCACATTCCAGCTGTGCAACTAACTCCTTCCTTCAGTAATGGCTCTCAGTCTGCTAATTGGGCTTTAAGGATTGTGTAAACACACTGATCAAATCATATTTATGACACTTTTATTAGAATATTTTGTGTTCTATTTTCACAACCTGATTGACTTGGGTCAGTTTTCGATTGTCTGAAAACTGTTGTTTGATGTATTTTATCTTTTTTTTATAGCTAAGGTAGGAGGGTAGATTGTTATTCATGATGGCCAGAATTGGAAGTGAGAGTTGGAGATTTTAACACCCGCTTTCAGTCATTGATAGAAGGAATATGTAAACATCAGTGTCGATGTGGGTGACCTCAGTAGTACTGAGATAGGTAACTGTCTTCACCTGAGTGATTTTTATAGAACATTATGTCAACATTTGCAAAATCCATTATCTTTTCAACTGCATGTGTTGTGTTCACAAAGTAGATCATAGCCTGGACTATTAAAAAAGTCTCTGTTAGCATAGAAAGGATTCCCATCAGACAGAAAACATCTCTGGTCATAATGAGCTTACATTAGAAAACCATAAGAAGATGATACCTAGAAATTAACACATCTAAATGATCAATTTATTAAAGAAGGAATCACAAGACAAATTAAAAATATTTTGAATTGAAGGATAAAGAAAGTGTAAAATTTCCTAGGATAAAGCTAAAGCAGGTCTTAGAGGGAAATTTATAGCTTTATGTAGTTATATCAGAAAAGAAGGTCTGAAATCAGTGACTTATGGTTCTACTTTATGAAGCTAGGAAGAGAAGAGCACAGTAAATCCTGAGTAAGTAGAAAGAAGAAAATAGTAAAAGGTAAGGGCAAGAGTCAGTGAAATAGAAAACAGAAAAATAGAGAAAATTAACAAAGGCCAAGTTCTTTAAAAACAACAAATGACCAATATCATGAAAGAGAAGGTATGGTCACACCTCAGTCTTCAGTAAACTCGAGCCTCAGTTGTTGCAGTTTTCTTCAGCTGGGGCAGTTCTTCTGAGGCAGACAGCTGAGGGCTCTTTATCAAAATCATTGAAGGATCTGGGCCTTCAGCCTCTTTAAACCCTAATAGTGTTTTACTGCTTATAGTTCCTTGAGCACACTGCTATTTTTCCCGTCATGCCATTTTTCCAAGGTTTTTTTTGTTCCGTCTAATTGAATGTCCTCCCCTCCCCCCTCAACTAGTGAGTCACAGAACCCCCTCCAGCCTCCTTGATCTTGCCCATTTTTCCCCCTTCCCCCAGCCCTGTGGTTAGATAACTATCGTTTTGGTAATCCATGATGTGTGTCTATATGTAACTATCTATCTATGTTTGGGTCTTTCTCTGCTGTTAGAGTTTGGAAATATGACTTGTGATGTAGCCTCTAGCACAGTATTTGGAACATTGTGTTTTTTGAGTGAATATTGTTATGGGAAAATATTTTAAGTTCCCAATAGCTGAATTATATGAATTAACTTAAGGATCACAATTTTATGTACATGGTATGAAATGCATGGATTTCTATTGTTGCAGTTTGATGAGCTACCTAAATTGGTATGAAAATTATTTGAGAATTTTGAATATTACCCATTATTGTTAGAAATGCTATACATTGAAATGTTGATCAGGTCTTCTAAAGGTTGTGCAGGATGTAGAAGGTGTTTAGGTTTTGTTTGATGGGAAGTGACTGTGTTGTGGTAGCTAATATGCTTCATGCGGTTCTCTTTCTGAAGGCCATACTTTCATTTGTTAAGTGAGTGAACTATGGTTGTAAATATGTTTATTGTTTAACAGTCGCTCCGGTTACTCTAACCTTGCTTATGAACCGTGTGTTCTTTAGTCCTTAAGTCTTAGATGCCCTCTGGTAAGTAAGATTCAGAATTAATTGATAATACCATTCAATCTTTTTGGTTGTCACAGTGGCACTTTGAAGAAATATGCATATAATCTTTGCCTGGGGGTTTCCACAGTTGATCTCTGAGCTCGGATGACTGCACTGCTTGACATTGAGGATGTTTTCTTGGTAACTTGAGCCCTCAGACGAGATAATCAAGCCAGTGTTCTCTTCTGTGTTGTTGGCGGACGTTTAAGTAAAAAGTAGGATGTTCTATTTCGCCAGTTCATGTTGGCGCTGAACTTCTGACTAAAACAGTTTAATATGTATTCCGTTTACACCTGAGTTTGTAGCTAAATTTCATTCTACTTTTTAAACTATAGTGAAGTGTTTTCCTTCCTCCGCTTAGATAAGCGCGACGGCAGGCCCTTCCCTCCAGTTGAGTACATCAGAATCATTTCAATAAACTTTTCAGAAGTAAAATTGGAGAAAAGTATTTTAAGAGTTTCAATTTTCTTTTAGCTGCTACTAGAAAATAGTATGTGACTCTCTTAAAGCATTTTAAGATTATAACTTTTATGTGTGAGATACGCCTATGAGTAGATAAGGCCATGTCTGTCTCACTGTGTTTCTAGTAACCAAACCTTCTCCTCCTTTTTCCTAGGTTCCTGGTTATTACAGACCATTTTCTGAAAAGCCCGGAATTGGTAAAAGCCATGTATGCCAAAATGAGCAATCAAGAAAGGTAACCCCAAAAACCATTGTGGTTTTGCGTCTTTAGCATTCCATATAGAGTATCCTGTACACATGACTGAAAAACTGTGTGGTTTTTTAGTTGGCACAAAATCTCTAACTACATGTTTCTGTGTCAGTAATGGTTTTAAATTGGTTGGTTAACATTACAGCTTAGCCACAACAGGCAGTGATTAATGTAGGGCTGCAGAATCCAGGTTGGCACCATTGTTTAGTAAAGACACTGAAAAACATTAGGTGTAGAATGTTATGCTTGTACTGTGATTTTATACTAGTACTTCATGCAACTAGATATTACAGCTGTATATTGAACAGTGCCCATTTGTCCATCTCACTGGTACGATAGTTTGGGTTACTCTACCGGGACTGTAGTTTCCTGTAGGAAATTGAGACCCACGGAAGATCAGTGCCTGGCTGACGCCTCAGTGCTGTGGTAGCGGGAAGAGCAGTGGGTGCCCTACCGAGCGAGGCTGGGCTCCCTGCCTTGTGATGGAAATCCCGCGTGTGACTGCAGCCAGGTCTCTTACCGTGTTTGGATTCAGTTTCTTGACCTATAAAATTAGAGGATTGAAAAAAATAATTCACTTTCCAATCGTTCTCTTTCCATTCCAATAGGATGTGTTTTCCGAGCCTTATTGGAAATGCTGTCTTAGGAAAATAAAACTTACTCAGAAATCTGACGATCAAAAACTGATATAATGGTTAAAAACTTTAAAAAAATGTTACTCTTTAGATTGTAGTCACCATTTTTATAATTGCCGTGGTTTTGAGGTTCTGCCTGTGCGTTCGGTCTAACGTTAAGCTTTATGCACTCCTCTATAGTCATGTTAAGTGGTGGTTTTTCTTCTTCAGTATCTTTAACAAAAAAGAAAAGTTCATACTTTTAAAGTTCATGCTCTTAAATCCATTCCCTCTGCCCCACCACATATATATACACTATTCCTGAAAAAGATTTATTTGTAGTTTTTGAAAAATGTATCTTTATTGTTGAAAGTATTACATATGTCCTCCTCCCCCCCCTTGACCCCTTACCCCCAGGCCTTCACCACACTGCTGTCTGTGTCCATGGGTTATGCATATATGCATGTAAGTTCTTAGGTTAATCTCTCCCCACCCACCCACTCCCACCTTCCCCTGAGATTCATCAGTCCGTTCCATGTTTCTATGTCTCTGGAATTATTTTGTTCATTGATTTATTTTGTTCATAAGATTCCACCTATGAGTAAGATCATGTGACACTTGTCTTTCTCTGGCTGGCTTATTTCACTCAGCATAATATTCTCCAGATCCCACTATGCTGTCTCCCAGGACAAGGGATCCTTCATTTTTACAGCTGCATAGTATTCCATGGTGTAAATGTCCGAGAAGATGCTTGGTATGATTTCAGTCTTCTTTAACTTGTAGAGACTTGTTTTGTTTCCTAACATGTGGTCTGTCTTTGAGAACATCCCATGTGCACTTGAGGAGAATGTATATTCTGCAGCTTTGGGGTGAAATGTTCTGTAGATGTCAGTTAAATCCATCTGATCTAGTGTGTGGTTTGTGACCTAAAACAAGGAGCACGGTGAGCAGTAAGGAACACGTGAGTACGCGCACACACAGTTTAATTGTGCTTGAATATTCACGTGTGTATTTTCCACATTGCTATCAAGTGATCTGTTTTTAAACTGATCCATTATCTAAGCGAATGAGGATGGCAGACTAACCAGTTTCCATTTTCATTTATAAAATAGTTGCAGCTGTGGTTTCCCTACTTCATGCAGGGTTTCTGCTCCAGTGTCATCTCCTATTTTATTGTTCTTCCAAAGGGGAAGTGCTATCATTTCATCACGTAAGTTACCATACATAGAGCTGTACCACGCACCTGCTTGCTGCTGTGTGACAGTGCGTTAGGCGGCTGGTGTCGTGAGGGTAGGGGTTTGGTCTTTTTTACTATGAGGTGTCCATATTTCCCAGGCCGTGGTGTCACGGAACAGGTGCAAAACAAAGTTTTTTGAATAAAAGCGTGAGCGAGTGAGTTTTCTTACAAAAGGCTTCATTGGTGTACTGGTTAGTGTGATACGATCTGCTGCCTGAGAAACCTCAGCGTTTTCCTCAGCGCTGCCGCCTCCACTGTGCAGGTCACATTGGTCAGTGTTCCATCTCAGTGTCTTGTGAGTGCACTCTCTTGTCACAGCTCTGGCTTACCCTTAGGACACCTATGACTAGACTATAAAATACACATAATACAAAGTTAACCATCTTGTTCAGTGGTATTAAATGTATTCACATTGTAGTGGAACCAATTTCCAGAACTTTTTCATCTTGCAAAACTGAGACTGCCTCATTAAACAATGCCCCTTCCCCCTCTCCTTGGCAACCGCCATCCTACTTTCTGTCTCTGAATTTGACTATATCCCATGTAAGCGGGATCACACGGCGTTTCTGCTTTTGTGACTGGCTCATTTCACTGGGCATGATACCCTCAAGGTTCAGTGTTGCAGCAGGGTCGGGATTTCCTGCCTCTCTAAGGCTGAATCATATTCCACTGTGCGTTTAGATCACATTTTGGTATGTAGTCGTCCCTTGGTGGACAGGTGGGTTACTCCCAGCTCTCATCTGTTGTGAGGAATGCTGCTGTGAGCACAGACAGATGAGTTTGAAGTCTGGCTGGTTTACTTTTGTTTTCCCTTCTGTTATCTACTGTGGGCAGCACGGGTCTCACCCTGCCCTAACCTGTCACAGGGTGCAGTTAAATTCCATGGCATGGTATGGGAGGCCCTTTACAAAGCTTCATTTCCAACTCCTGCCTACCTCCCCTGCCAGTCGCCACACTGTAGCCACACACAACTTGTCCCAGCCCCCCCAGGCCTCCCCTTCGTGCCCTGCGTTTGCACGTGCGTCTTCCCTCCACGCACCCTGACCACCATGTCCTGACGATGCAGGTGCTCTGTAGGCCCTTCCCACACCCCACCTGCCTCCTGGTGGCTTTCCTGACTTCCCCAGGCAAAATTCTTTTTGCATCCTCAGCTGCAGGTTTATCATTAATTATTGCTTCTCTGCTAGAATACGTGTTCTTCCAGGACAAAGACTGATTCTCGTGACTTCTCTGTCCTTCACACCCACCGGAATCAGTATTGGAGTAGAAGGGGTACTCCACCGGCACCAAACACCGCGAAACATGTCTTTGGGGTGCTGTCCCTGTTGACACTAGACAGCAGGTGGCTCAGTCAGTGGAGACTAGATGCTTTGCAGCTGCAGGCCTGGCTTTGCTCAGAGGAGCTCTGGTGAAGATCGCTGGTGGGGGAGGTTGGCGAGTCAGGTACTTGTTGCTCAGGGGCAGTGCTTAGCTTGCTGATGGTCACTGCTCCTTAATTGTAGCCATCAGTGTGGCCACACTTAGCTCTGCTTCCTCATTTCATTTGTAAGAAAGGTGTCAGATAGTGACATGGAGCTCTCTGGGCTTCTCATACCCTGGAAATGGCCCCATAAAGAGCCGCCAGGGCAGAGGGCGAGGGCAGACAGGAAACGGGGAAAGTCTCCCAGGACTGGTCACTCTGCTCAAGTCTCTTCTAGTTCATGGAGTGGGCAGAATTGTGGAGCTGTGCCGCTGCCTCCTTTCTTCAGGTGTCTATCCTGTATTTGGTGACAGCCATCGTTTTACAGTTGTTCCACTAGCGCACTGGTCTCCAGAGGGGGGTGTACAAAACGGGCCTGTTGAGTGTGTCAAGTAAATATTATATTTACTTGTCTAAAAAAGTAAGAAAGCAGCTAAGCTTTATTAATATTTAACGTCTAGTTTGTCAGTTGTAAGTTATCTGTAGATTGCATATATGGGAGGTGTGTGGTGCAGATTTTTTAATTGATAAAAAAGTGTGGAGAATACCAAGCTAGCATGCTGTTGCTAGACTATTTTTTCCTGTGGAGCTTCTTTCTTTATTTTTAATTGAATTTCATTCAGTGAGTTTTCCCGGTGTGTGAAATGCTGATAACACCAGCACTGCCTATCACACTGGTGATCAAGAAGGGAATGCTGCTTTTAGTTGCATCATTCTGTCACCTGAGAGATGGTAATATTGTCATTCTGGAGTAACTGTCAGTCAAAAACAGTTACAGCCCCTGATCTTTTGGGGGCCAGCAGAGATACGCCCAAGGCCAGCAGAAGGCCAGACTCGAAGGAGGCACAGCAAGGCTATTTCCAGGACAGATGGCAGGAGAAGGGGCTGCTACCCTTGGGCATCAGATATTAAGTTGTACTTCTTCCAGGCACAGTGAGATGTGAAGGTGGTATCTAGGCCAAGACCTTGCTCTTTTCAAAATGCTTATTTTATATGAGAACATGTGTAAGTCAGGAATTTAACATTTAATTCACCACATCCTAAATCTAAAAAATGTCACTAAAGACCCACCCTCCCCTTTCTTCTGTGCTTGACGCTAAGGGGTAAGTAATTGCTTTTACTCCAAGTACATTAGCAGTGAAAGCATTTATAGCTTTTTCTCTAATGAACTTGCACACAGCTCTTATTAAGTAAGTTGGGCACTGTCCTAAGCACTACAAATCATAACTTGATCCATGTTAGCCTTAGAAGGCTGGTGCTATTACTGTCCCTGCATTGTAGATAGTGCACTGAGGGACAGAGGTTAGGTAGCTTGTCCCCTGTCTCACTGCAGTGGACAGCAGAGCCAGGATTCAGGCCAGGCAGCCTGGCTCTGGGGGATGTCTTGATAGCTGCTGCACTGGGCCACCTGCTGAAGGCCATTAAGGTAGGATAATGTTTGTGTTACATGTCAAAACTTAAGACACCCAGCAGTGCCCTGTATGAGGACATGTAAGTTGTATACCTTTAAGGAAAGAGAACTATCCTCTCATCTGGTGGTTCGTTTGTCCTGAATACCCGTGTTTCTCTAATATTGGTGTGTTGAATATGGAGTTTTAGATGCCACGGGTGGTCCACAGGTGCTAGCCCAGTGACTGAGTGAGGACAGGAGTGACGCTCCATCTTCTGTTTCATTGGCAGGTAGATTTTGCTGGAGGTGGGTCTTGTGGTTCATATTATACGTGGTTTTACAGCCTCCGCCAGATTTCTAGCTGCAGCAAACTTTGTTTTCAAGAAACATCAACCAAAAATATTCTGGCTTGAGATTTGTACTTTTGTCTCTCATGACTTCTAAATTGGACATATACACACATGGAAGCAATTTAATTATGCCAGCAAATTTTGTGATATATTCAACCACTTAGGATTAAAGGAAATGGGACCTAAATGCAGAAAGATGTGGTGCTTTACAAGCGGAAAGCAAAGGCTGCGAACACTTCTTACGCCTCTGTGGCTTCTGTTCCAGCTTTGATTTGCTCCGTTTTAATAAGTAATTCTGACTCCCTGCTCTGAACAGGGCACTCACTGTCTTATCTTCAAGGAGATGGCACACTTTAAATTAGACACAGGGCCTCCCCTCAAGGATCCTCTAGGCTTTCTGTGAACTTTGCCAGAGATCCTGAATGGAAGAGGTGCAGTAAGGGCGTTGGCAACTGTGATACACGATAAGTTTGGTGATGTCACAGGAGAAGATCAAGTACAGTGGTTTAGGGACATGGGTGGAGGGGAGAGGTCACTGCGGCCTTGGAAGTAAGTTCAGACTTTGTGGAGGAGGCAGCGTTTGACAGGCTGGGTAGGGGGGCGCAGGATTTGCCAGCACATGTTAAGGACAGTGGACATTTTCTGGTTGAAGGAACAGGACTGGCAGGTGCAGATGAAGGAAGCTTTGGATGTGTTTTGGAGAACCTGGGGAGTCCAGTTTGGTTGGAATAAAAGACACTCGTGAGCGCAATGAAGAGATACTCTTGGCTTGAAGGCCAGGGTTAGGCTTTGTGTCAGTAACATGTTTTTTGGTTCATTCAACAAGTATTTATGGAGTGCTTGCGTGATATACCAGGCAAAAACCTCTGTCCTCATGGAGCTTATGTTCCAGCGGTGACAGTGACAGGAAACAAAGATGTAAAATAGCAGCTCTGCCGGATGGTGATATGTGCATGGTGAGTTGGGAGGGGACATATTACTGGGATTATCTCCAGGAGAGCCCATCTGCTTGGGCAAATGGAAGGCCTGGCTTTATGGCCTGAGAGTACCCCCTTCGTTTTCAAAGGTTATATGTGAGTAAGGGCAAATAAAATACTCTAATGCTGTTGTTACTTTGTACTCAACTGAGGGGGTTATTTGTTTGTTTTATTTTGGAATAATAATTGCTATAAGAAATCTGAGGTTTTAGGTCTGTGGGTGATTTTTTTTCCCCAGACTGATGATCTTTCCCATCAAAATATATTCCTTAACTTGAAGTAGTAAGCAACTACTCTTTTTCTTTCAGTAAGAAATGCTCCATGTCCTGGCCGGGTGGCTCAGTTGGAGCATCGCCCTGTATACCAAAGGGTGGCAGGTTTGATTCCCGGTCAGGGCACATATCCAGGTTTCAGGTTTTGTCTTTTTGTCTGTCCCTTCTCCTCTCTAAAAAAAAATAATAAAATAACCAAAGAATTTTTAAAAAGAAAGAGAGAAATGCTCCATGCCTACTGTAAGTGTATTTCCCCCCCCTTTTGCTAAGCATTTTAGATATTCTTACCCTTTCTGGTATAGAAATAAAGATTTATACATATAATCCCAAATCAGAATAGGATTTTGAGGAACGTCCTACTTGATTTTTGCTGGATAGAGTGCCCTGTGTATGATTATTTTTTTCTAGAAGGGAAGAGGTTGTTGAATAAAAATGCTTACTGATAATTTAAATATTGATATAAAAAATGGCATAGGTTGGATTTCAGATTTATGTTTTTGTAAACAAAAATGATGAAACAAAAAAGCCAAGCTCTACAAGACAGGCAGTAAAACAAGCAGTTAAGGCACTTGACCTGGGAGCCCGAGACTGAATCCTGACTACCAGCTCAGTATGTGTGACCCTGGGCAAGTAACCTGAGGAAGCCTTTACCCACCTTCCTGGGAGGCTAAGGACAATACCTGCCTCACGGTTTTTGTGTAGAGCAGATGAAAAAATGTGTGTAAAATGCTTTGCTCTAGTAAGTAGGGAATGTTGCCCACTTAACTGTGCCATTGTTATTGTAGATGTAGAAATGGACAGAATTTCTGAAATGTTGAGTTATTTTAGTGCTCAAAGTAATGAATGTAAAAGGTGCTTCTTTCTATAGCGGAGTCACATCAAGGAAATCAAGCCCAGCCGGGCGTGGCTCAGCGGTTGAGCATCGACCTAGGATCCAGGCGATCGGGGTTCGATTCCCGGTCAGGGTACGTGCCCCGGCTGCGGGCTCGATCCCCAGTCGGGGGCGAGCAGGAGGCAGCCGATCCATGACTCTCATCATTGATGTTTCTATCTCTCTCTCTCTCTCCCCCTTTCCTTTCCTCTCCCTGAAATCAATAAAGATATATTTTTAAAAAAAAAAGGGAAATCAAGATTTTTAAAATAGGTAATGAGGACTAATTCACACACAAAATGTTTTCTTTAGACAGTATAAGCAAAGTAAGGAAGTTAAAATGTAAAGGTGTTCTCTTACAGTGGTCTCGTCTCTCTAAATATTTTTAGCAGTGTAGAATTTCAATATAGTATATTCATGTAAAATCTTTGTCTTACAGGGTTACGTTGTTAGACCTTATAATAGCCAAGATAGTGGGCGAGGAGCCTCTGACCAAGGACGACATCCCTGTGTTTCTGAGCCACGCCGAGTTGATCGCAAGCACCTTCGTGGATCAGTGCAAGATCGTGCTGAAGTTGACCGCTGGGCAGCATGCTGATGATGAGGTGAGAAGACAGACCTCCTAAGTCAGCGAGGTCCTCTATGAGAATTCTTGTTTAAGAACTTTTAAGCCATGGCCTGTTTGGCTCAGCTGTTCGAGTGTTAGCTCAAGTACTGAAGGATCCCGGGTGCGATTCCAGCCAATGGCACATACCTCAGTTGCAGGCTCAGTCCCTGGCCCCGTTGGGTCGAGTGTGGGAGGCAGCCAATCGATGTGTCTCTCTTACATTGATGTTTCTCTCTCTCTCCCTTCTACTACTCACTCTGAAAAGCAATGGGAAAAATACTCTTGGCTGAGGATTAAAAAATAAAAAGCTTTTAAAAAATATGCAAGTATCCGCCACAGCCTGAATGTCTCTGTGCCACCCCTTCCCCCACCCCATGTTAAAAACCTAATGACAAAAATGATAGTATTAGGAGTGGGGCCTTTGGGACATGAGCAGGTCATGATGGAGCCCTTGTGACTGGGATTAGTGCCCCAGAAAGATCCCTTGCCCCCTCCACCTCATGAGGGCATAGCAAGAAGTGGCTACCTGCAATCTGCAAGAGGTCCTCACCTGAACCAGCTCTGCTGGCACCTGATCTTGGATTTACAGCCTCAGGAACTGCGAGCAGTACATTTCTGTTATTTATAACCCACTGGTTTATGCTACTTTTGTTAGAGCAGTTCAAATGGACTTAGGACAGTAGCCTTATTTTAGAACAGTTAAGAAAATACAGGTAAAGGAAAACAGTGTCTTGATTCACAACCACTCAGTTAATGACAATAATTCTGGTTAATATATTTACTAGCAGATAACATCAAGTACTTGCATATATACATGTGTGCACACGCAGACGTCAACAGTGGAACCCTCCTGTGCTGTCCTGTGAATTCCTGTTGTTTCTTCTGAATGTAAGCTCCACGCAGGCAGAAGCTTTGACTAAATTCATGTAGTATGTACATAGTGGGCACATAGTAGGCAAATATTTTCTGTATGAATAAACATTACTTTGTTACGATTTTTTAAAATGCCAGTATAGCACTCTAAAGAATTTATCGTCATTTATTTGTCCAGCTACAGGGAGTTAGACAGTTAGGTTGTCCTTATTTCTGTTTGTTACGCCTCTGCAGTTACATCTCTGCACTTACATCTTTGTTCACTTCCATGCGTATTAACCTAGGACACAGGCTTAGAAGTGGACTGCTGGGTGTAAGGGTTTATCCATTTTTAAAGCTTTTGATGCTCATTGGTAAGTCGCCTTCCAGAGTTTGTTTCTTCTGACCTTTGTAGGAGATTCCTGTTCATCCACCGTCCTGGTTGGCTTCTTCAGGTCTTGATTCTCCTGAGACCTACCCTAGGTCATCCAGGTCTTTCCTTTGCTAAGCTAGCTCACATTAATTCTGTCTCCCTCTTCTTCACTTCAGAAATCCTCCTTATTTTTATCTGTTTCTTCTTCCCTTTGGTCTTAAAGTTGAGTTGGTTTTTCTCTGGAATACTACTCAGCAGTAAAAGGAATGCATTTCTGAGTCAGGATTAGAGATGAGTCCCAAATGTAGTGCCTGAGAAGCCAGACAGAGACTGTACTCTGTGATTCCACCTCTGAAATTCTGTAGCAGACAAAACTTACCTATAATGACAGAGTAGCTCAGATGTCACGTGGGGCTGGACTGGACAGTGGCCGAGGGACCTGCGGGAATATCATGGGTAATAGAAGTGTTATACACAGCTGTGTACATTGACACAGCTCAGTACCTTAGACTTAAGAGCATGTATTTTATTGCATGTAACTTCTGCCTCAGTGCATGTTCAAAAACACAATAAAGGGTCTTTTCTACACTGACAGGGGTGATGAATAGAGAGGGAATCACTTTGGCAAATAGGTGAGGGGATTGGCCTTTGGTGGGACCGTCCACTGTCTCCAGATGGGAATAGGGGATGTGGTCACTGTTCCGTGGCATCTGGAGAGAGAGCATGATTTTGGGAGCCTGAGAACTCCTGCTACAAGTGCAGGACGTGACTGTGACTCCCACCATGCAGGTGTGTTTCTTTCTTGGTGAATATACTTGTTCTCAAGGTTCCTTTGCTATTGATTTTCATACAGGCCATGTTAGGTCTTGTGATAAAGCCAGTATTTGAACTGTCATTTTCTGTGATGGAAGAGAAAGAAAACATCCTTACTCATGGGCTTGCCTGTCCTTTCTGGAGACAGGTTTGCCTCTGTTTCCAGCAGGAGGAGCAGTGAGCCGAACTTCCAGGAAGGTTAAAAATGACTCCTCTAGGAGACAGAAGAGGAGGGAAAACCTAGTACTTGTTAAATCTCAGCTTTAGACTTTCTCAAGGCACTTATATTTATAGTATAGATGAGTTCAGTGTTGTGATAGGTTACCTGATGTAACTTTATATTTAGGAAATTTAACATTTTTCCTCCAAATAGTTTTTTCTCTAAGGTAGGAGAAATTAATTTAAATTAAGTGATAGAAAATTGTAGATAGCTTCCTTTTGAAAAGCCCAAATAGTTCACTTTTTGATAGTTTATCTATATACACTCATGACTTGTGCATATTAGTGTATATTCATTGTCCTTTCATTCACAAGTTTTAAAAAGCCACAGAAGTTTTTTGCAAGACCTTTTGTCTCAATATTTAAATATACTGTGGTGTGCTGGCGTTGGCCTTTACTGACACCTTAGGGTCACATGTTTGTGAGCTGGTTGTCAGACTCTTAGTAGCTTGAAATCAGCCTTGGTGAAATATTGATACCGTGTAACTTGGTGAATGTACAAGTTAGGGCTTTTGACCCTTGCTTCCTCCTCTCAGCCAGTTTACCAGCAAACCACTGCATTTACCCATTTGTGATATTTTTAGGACAGGACGACCAGTAGAGTACTCATAGTGCTATGCCTGAAAAATCAGTGAAACAATCACTTTCATAGCATCTGGGTTTATTTGTTTTTAATCTGTGTGTTTTTTTTTAAAATATATCTTTATTGATTTCAGAGAGAGGAAAGGAGAAGGAAAGAGAGATAGAAACATCAATGATGAGAGAGTCATTGATCGAGCCCACAACCCGGGCATGTGCCCTGACCAGGAATCGAACCCATATCTCCTGGATCCCAGATCGACACTCAACCGCTGAGCCACGCCAGACAGCATCTGTTTTTTAATTTATGTATTTGTTTGACTTTAAGATCCTGAGGTTTTATTCATATCTTTTCCTTTATAAAATTAGTCTTAGATTACCATATTAATATACGTTTCTGTCTTTTGGTATATTTTTGCATACTTGTTTCTAGTTTTTGATATATTTTTGTCAGTTCTAATATGCTTAATCTTTAAGATTCAGTTTTAGCTTTATCGTGAGACTTGGTATTATTTGTAGTGAGCCTTGCCTTTCTTCTGAAAGTTTAAAAAACTTGTTCTAGTTTTGCATTTTTTGTATCATATGAGCGTCGTCTTCAGGTTGTGGGCGTTTCATTCCACTTCATTCCCTGCGTCCCCAGCTTAAGTTGCACTGTGTTGTACAGCAGGTGTTTAAGAAATACTTGTGGAGTAAGTCAGTCTTTCATGACACCTGCTACTGGTACGGGATTAAATCTGTATTACGCAAATAATGTTTGTTTTATTGAAAAAAAAATTTAAGCTGAAATCAAACAAAAAGTTAAGAAGTCCCCTTTAATGCTCAGCCCCCATCTGTTTTCTGCAGAGGTATCAGCATGTACTTTTTCTTTTCCTTCCAAAGGTTTTTTTGTATGTACACACACATTTTTTGTTCACCCTTTTTACAGTTATGCATGTTGTGTTCCTCAGCTTGCCCTGTTTTCACGTATTCTGCTGTGTCTTGTACATACGTTCACGTTAACACGTGTGTGCAGGTACCTCATTCTTTTCAGTAGTCGGACACCTTTCACTGTAGAGATGAGTCATCATTCTCCACCTGTCCTCCATCGGTGGACATTTCAGGTGCTTCCAGGTTTGCATTTTAGAAAACCTTTACAAATAATGTTACGGTGAACATTCTTGTAAAAATATCTCTGCAGTTTTGGACAAATAAATCTGGATTGATTACAAATTCCTGGAAGTTGAGTTTCTGAGAGAGTATGTTTATGTAAAATTTTAGGAATATTTCTAAAGGACATACCAGTAGAGCCCCAGAATATGTGGGCACCACCCTTCACTAATCTATGTAATTACCATTTCCTGTTCGTTTCTCCTCAGGGACCAATATGTTAATTTGTTTTCATGGTAGTTTATCTTTTAAAATACATTTATTAATGAGCATTTTTAGAAAACTGATCTTGTCATATTTTTGGAAACATAATATTTTGTTTGAATTGATTTATGGTATTCTTAGCCTTTTAGAAGTTTTTTTATTTGTTTTTAATCTAGTTAGGCTTATTAATTTTAAGCTTATGGCTTCTGCAGTTTTTTAGTAAAGCCTTCTCCACTTAGGTTATGGAAATACACACCTTTATGTTCTAGTTCTTTCAGTACTTTGTCTACATTTTTTATTAACCTAGAATTTATTTTTGAGTAAGAAATGAAGTATAGAGCCAAATGAATTAATTATGTCTTCTGACTGTCCAAGATTGTATAATCTTTGTGACTGCTTGGGTTTGAATCTTGATTTCTTCTATTACCAGGTGTGAGCTTTTGGAAACTCTGTTTAACTCTCTCTGTGCCCCAATTTCTTTACCTGTAAAATCAATTGTATTTTAATAGAAGCATCTAGTAGATGGACTGGTATGTAGCTAATGTCCCGTAAACATTAGCTCTTCATTATTGTATCAGTATCATCTACTGAATAAACTCATCCTTTCCACTCCACTTAATTACTGTATCATATATTAAATTCTGATATATTTTTGGATCCATTTCTGGACTGCCAACTTTTTACAGAGGGAAGAAAGAAGATGTTAGCAACTGGATATTTTTTCCATTGCTTTTCTTTTTATATATATGTTGAATTGATTTCAGCTAGAGGAAAGGAGAGGATAGAAAGAGAGAGAAACATCAGCGATGAGTCATTGATCGGCTGCCTCCTGCACGCCCCGACTGGGGAGCGAGATGTGCAGTAAAGGGGCGCGGAGTGAACTTACACAGGCGCGCCGTCCCGACGAGGTGGTGGTTAACTGTGTTCCAGCAGGACCAGTCATCTGCATTTCTGTGGACAAGAATCATTTGCATTGTTACCTTTTTTCTACAATTTACAGAAATTGCTCAGAGACACTAAAGCTCAAAGACAGATTTTGTAAACAAGAGACAAATACTGTTTTTCTTTTTTCCCACTTCCAAATCTTATTCCTTTGTTTTGCCTATGTCTTTTTTAGTAAATCCCCTAGTGCCTGATTTAATGACTATTGCTTTGTAATACTTATAAACACTGGAAGGGTATGCGACACATTACTCTTATATTTTAAGAGAGTAATTTTTCCTGGCTGTTATTTCATTATTAATTTCCAGATGTTCATTAGAATACTTTATTTATAAAAGGATTCTAGTGATCAAAATTGGGGATGTGGCCCAGCCGGGCATGGCTCAGCAGTTGAGCGTCGACCTAGGATCCAGGCAAGTGGGGTTTGATTCGTGGTCGGCACATGCCCGGGTTGTGGGCTCGATCCCCAGTTGTGGAGTCGATCAATGACTCTCTCATCATTGATGTTTCTCTCTCTCTCTATCCCTCTCCTTTCCTCTCTCTGAAATCAATAAAAATATATATTAAAAAAAATTGGGTATGTGTTAGACATAGATTAAGTTTTGGGGGGACGTATTTTATTTTATTCATTTAAAATTTTTATTTATTGATTTTAGAGAGGGGAAAGGAGAGAGAGACATGGATTTGCTGCTCCACTTATTGATGCATATACATTGGCTGATTCTTATATGTGCCCTCACTGGGGATCAAAACTGCATCCTTGGTGTATGGGACGACACTCTAACCAACTGAGCTACCTGACCAGGGCTGGGGTTTATTTTAGTTAATGTCATAGAATTTAGGAGCTAGAAGGAAACTTTTAGATCATCTGTTCCAACCCCCTAATATCTATTCAGTACCATTCTTGTTTCATTCATAATTTGCCTGTTCTTATGCCAGTTGCTCTGGATTAAAACAGAGGTTTAACATATTTCATCAGTTGATATTTTACTTGTATCTCTAAAAGTTGAGGAATCTTCACATGTAACTGAAATACAAATTAGCACATCTAAAAATTTAACAATAACATTTTAATATCAAATAAACAGTATTTATATTACCCCGTTTGTCTGCTTCCCCCCAAGTTTGTGTCTTTGAATTGGCAGAGAACGGCCATGCGCTAGTTGGTCGATAGGTCTCTGTCTCCTCCTCCTGTGTAGCTTCCCTCCTCTCCCTCTTCTTCTCCCCCCCGCCCTTCCTTTTTCCTGTGCTAGTTATTTGTTGAAGAAATTGGGTGGTTTCACCTGGGAGTTTCTACAGCTTGGATTTTGATGAGCTTATCTCCATGGTGGTGTTTAACATGGTCTTTTCCTTGAATTTCCTGTGAATGAAAATTAGGTCCAGAAGCTTATTCAGATTTCAGCTAGTTGTTTTTTTTTCCTTTCAGTAATGTTTCATCATTGGGGATACATATGTTTATCAAGAGGCTCGTAATGTCTGGTTGTCTCTTTTATGATGTTAGTAAGTGTTAATAATTATTACCTAGACCCATTCATTGTTAGGGGTTGCAAAATATCATTCATTTTTCATTTACTGGCTGCAGTATTTTATAAAGAGAATCTTCCCCTAATCAACTGTTAGGTTATACAAGGTGCATTTTATTTTCCCTCCTTGGTTACCAGTATTCAGAGTATCGAGTTGATTTTGTGGCATCATCCAAAGATGACAAATACCACATTTTGTGTAGTTATGAAGTTGTTGCTTTAAAACCATTTGACTTGTTTCCAGTCCACTGAAGTGTAATTCTTCCTAATGTCCTAATGTGCCCTTTGCTGGCCACGGCAGACTCTCAGGTTGCTTCTCGTGTTTTCGAACATGGTCCTGATAGTTTCAGATAGCTTCTCTGCCACCTAGTATGACAAGGTGTCCTGGGTCATCTTGTACATATCTGCCCCAGTCCTAGAACCAATCAGCCATTTCATGAAGGAAAAAGGGGATTAGGAGATGGCAGCCTGGGCAACTACCCATTTAACAAAAGAGCATGCTGAGGCCGTGCAAAGTTAATGGGTTTGCTTGAGTCTTTTAAACATGGTGCTAATGTCAGATTTATCTAAAATATTTTCCCCTCACTTTTCAGCTAGCAAGTGAAGCTATTAAATTAGAGATGCAAGGTATTAAAAAATGTGTGTTGTTTGCTATTTGCTTTGAGATTGCAGAATGCTATATTAAAATAGTACCTTTAAACCCCCAATTAGAGAGTAGTAAATACACATTTAGAATTAATAAAAGGAAGTAATTTATTTTTCTTCTGAAAAATGTTACCTTTATGACCTAAATTTACAGCATCTACCACATTTTGCCAAATAATGTAAACTTTAAAAATGAGGTTCAAAGTCTGTACGAAAATTGCATTTTAAAATTTTATTTTGACTCCCTACTGCCACGGCATTGCAGTTGGCAGTCTCTTGGTTGTGTAATCTCTTTGATTGTAAATTCTTCATGTGAACTAGCATTTTCAAATAATATATTTTCCAGCTTACTAAGATACTGTATATAGGTTTATATTTACCCAGAAATAATGCAGATTCTTGTTGCCAGAGTTCTTTCAACCACAGCATTTTACAGGATTCCTGCGGACAAGAAATTAATGTAGTTTATGGTGTATTTGTATCTTTAAAGTAGAACTTGCTTGCTGGAAATGCTTAAAGAGAAAATATTTGCATAAATGTTATGTATGTAGCTAGTAATTTTGAACATTTATTTCACTGTTGGAAGGTATTTTTGCTTGGATAGGAACTTTTCTGATTCTTTGCTTCAATAAGACACATAATGACACGTAATCTTGCCTTCTCGATGGTGATGTCTGCTCCTAGTGCAGATGATGGTTCCCGTACATGCCTGATACTTCTGGCTTGGTTTTGATAGTTTTGTTTCTCTCTTTAGATGTGTTAGAAGCACTGACTCTTTAACAGTTACTGTAATGGTTCATTCTCTCACGGTTATTTATAACAGTCAGATCAGCTTGATTTAAAACTCTGTGTTTCCTTTCCTTCTTAGGAGGTATTGGCTACAATTAGGCTTCTCGACGTCCTGTGTGAGATGACTGCTAATACTGACCTGCTCGGCTACCTTCAGGTTTACCCTGGCTTGCTGGAGAGAGTGATTGGTGAGTGAACCAGCACACAGAATTATTATTATTTTTTTAAATGTATCTTTATTTATTTCAGAGAGAGGAAAGGAGAGGGAGAGAGAGATAGAAACATCAATGATGAGAGACTCATTGATCAGCTGCCTCCTGCACGCCCCTGACTGGGGATCGAGCCCGCAACCCAGGCCTGTGCCCTGACCAGGAATCGAACCCCGATCGCCTGGATCCTAGGTCAACGCTCAACCGTTTGAGCCATGCCTGGCTGGGCCACGGAATTATTTTTAATTGAGAATTCTCTGGCTTGTCATATTGTAATATTAAGTTCAAACACAGATCTGTAAATTTCAGGATATTGCTATATTTTTGAAATTTTGGGGAATATTTTTTCTTGAGAGGAATCATGAGGTTTTGGTAATAGCTCAGGCTGTTGCCGCTTCCCTGCTGTTTAACCCAGGCTGCCTCATCAGCACACGAGGGCACCTGTGCCTGCCACACGGTACACATGGGGGTTTCCTTCCAGGCCTGGGATGATGAGGGTGCGGTTTCAGTGACGATGATGATAGCATTTTTTATATCACTGGATTTTTACCAAATTTGTTAGTAAAATTTTTCCTAATCACATTTTTGAGGCACAAAGAATAGTGCCTTACACATAGTAATTATGTATTCAATTCTTATAAGAAAATTATTTTTAAGCAAGAAGCCAGTGTTTGAAATATTACCATCTTTGCTAAAATACTGTTTGCAGCCCGACCCGGTGTAGCTCAGCAGTTGAGCATCGACCTAGGATCCAGGAGATCGCGGTTCAGTTCTTGATCAGGCCACATGCCCAGGTTTTGGGCTTGATCCCCAGAAGGGGGTGTGCAGGAGGCAGCCGATCAATGACTCTCTCATTGATGTTTCTCTCTCCCTCTTCCTTCCTCTCTGAAACCAATAAAGATATATTTTTTTAAAAACACAAAAAACTGTTTGCAAAATAATTCAGGTAGAACCTATTCTTTGTGCTTGGCCCTGCTTACGGTGTTGCTGTTCACTGTCTGCTTTTTTTCTTTAGAAAAGATTATTCTTATTCTGGAGACCCATATGCTAAGAAAGATGCATTTGGATCCAGATGGGTAGATGAGTTAGCAGTGAGCTTAGACGATAGTTAGAACCTGGTATCAGTGTTTTATTCTTGGATTCAGTGCTTCTAGTGATCACTGAAACACCACAGTCCTGGGAAGTGAAATCACCGTAGAAAAGCACGAGCTGGGAGCCAGGGCAGGCATGGGCGGCCCTCCCACTCTGTGAAATCCCTAACTTCTCCAAGCCTGATGTCTTCCTATAAAATTGGGAAAATGATAACTGCCTTCAGTAGGTTTGTTAGGCTGTTTAAATGAGATGATGCAGAAACACTTAAATACAGCTTCAGGAAGACCACTTATTTTCATAGGCTGCTTAGAAGCATCTCACACAGTCTGACAGCTTGGAGCTATTTCTTTTGAGTGTAGCCAAAACAGATCTGTGAGAGCACCTGCCGCCTTCCGATGATCTGGCCAAGGGAAACCGTCCCATGCTCCTGGGTTTCCTGTGTGTGGCTCATCGCAGATAGGTGGTATTGTCTAGACTTAGCTGACTGTGGGCATCACATCAGTTCTTTCATAAAGAAGTCGAGACTGGAGACCCCTTTGTAAGAAAGATGGTGGCAAATGTTTAGCTAACTTCTTCGTGGATAAATAGGACAAGTTGGGGCAATCATTATGGCTTATGTCCTCAGAACCAGTCACGAAAATTATTAAAGCAAAAAATAGCCTTTTAATCATTATTTAAAGAAAGCTTTTATTTTTTTTTACTCTACCTTTATTTTATTTTAATCTCGTAACATAAATTAAGTTTGTGGAAAACTATTACAAAATACTAAAAATTTTTCTGTGGAAAGTAAGGTTTATTGTTTTTGTTATAGATGTTTTACGACTGATTCATGTGACTGCCACTGACCCCACAAACATCTTTAGTACCTCTGGGTGCATAAAAGCGGAAGGTGATGTCGCAAACATGGCCGAGGGGTTCAGGTCTCATCTCATTCGTCTGATTGGAAATATGTGCTATAAGAATAAAGACAACCAAGACAAGGTAAGGCTGTTTCTTACTGTGCATCAGACATATGTGACTTCATTTAGAATATAATACTTAAAATTAGAAAATACTCACTTTTTTGGAGTGAAAGGTTAAAGTGCTTAGATAGTAGCTTGAGAGTGTGTGTGTGTGTGTGTGTGTGTGTGTGTGTTCCCACAGATAAACATTAAATGCCATAATTGATTGTATTAGGGTTTGTGTTTTTGTCATATGCATCGTGTTTGTCCTTAGCATGTTTGGGTCAGCCTCCTTTCTTATAGGTTGTCGATCTTCATCCAAAGCCTATGCACTTAAACACTCCAATGTCACGTAGAGCATAGTCAATAAAAACAGGTATTTAAAAAGCCTAGAAACTGTCAAACACATAGTAGACACTTAATAAACAGTAGTTACTATTATTAATCCTCAACTGAGGATATGCTTAGAGAGAGACAGGGAGAGAGAGACATCTATGTGAGAGAGAAGCATCAATCAGTTGCCTTCTGTATGCTCCCCAACTGGGGATCAAACCCACAACCCAGGCATGAGTACCTGACTGGGAATCGAACCAGCAACCTTTTGGTGCATGGGAAGATACTCAGCCAATGGAGCCACTGTGGTGAGACAACAGTAGTTGTTGTTCACATTATCTTAAGGAGAAAAACAAACATTATCTTAAGAAAAAAAACATAAATTTTAACACATCTGTGCTCTACATTTTGGATGATAACATCATAAGCATTTCTTCTAGGAATTTTGAGATATATTAAATATTTGGAAATGCAGTAGACTGCATTAGAAACCTATTTTGTGCTGAATAGCTTAGCGATAATTATACTGATAATATGAGAGGGTGAATAAAAATGATAGCAGGAGTGGCTCAGCGGTTGAGCATTGACTTAGGATCCAGGAGATCAAGGTTCGATTCCTGGTCAGGGCACGTGCCCAGGTTATGGGCTCGATCCCCAGGTGGGGGCTTGCTGAAGGCAGTCGATCAGTGACTCTCATCAGTGATGTTTCTCTCTCTCTCTCCCTCTCCTTTCCGAGCTCTGAAATCAAAAACGACGTATTTAAAAAAATAAAAAATAAATAAAAATGATGGCAGGAGAATTAGACCCCGTGCTTCACATTGAACTAACCTGCCTGCATCTTCCTAGAGCTTTGCTTTAGGCGGCATTTGTTTTGCTTCATCAAATACTGAATATTGTTGACAGATTACATTTTTCTAATGTGGCTACACAAACACCTATCATTCTGCGTGTGTTCCTGCAATGTGACTTTGCCACTCCCTCATCAAGGGTTGGCATTTACTTCTCCATCCTCTTGAATCTGGATGACTCGAGCCCTGTGACTACTTGGAACAATGAAATGTGGTAAGAGTGATTCTGCCCCATTTCTGTTGTGGCCCTAGTCTGGCCTGTCAAGTCCGATTTCTTGACCCTTAGAAGCCAGTCCCCATGTAAGACATGCAGACTCCCTGAGATCACCGTGTAGAGCGTTGTCAGGTCCATATGGAAAAGCTCTGGAGGATGAGATGCAGTGAGGAGACAGGAAGAGACCAGTTCAAGGGACAAGGCACGAGACACGTGAGTGAGAAACCAACCATGATGTGACTCTACCCTCAGTTTCTTAGTGGCCCAGCCGATGCCACATGAATCAGGAGCAGCCTGCCCAGCAAGCTGTTCCTCAATTCACCACCCACAACACTGTGAGAAAAATTAAGTTGCGTAGGTTCTGCTTTTGTTAATGGCCCTGTAAGCTACTATCGGATGATCTTCCTATAAATAATAAAGATAAACTCTGGACAAAAGACAACTATGTGAAGACACTCAAAGTTAACCCAAACAGGACCAATTCTGGAGTTGAATTGACACACGAAAGAAGGCACAGTGTGTGTCATGCAAGGCAGTTAAAACTCTGATAGAAAAATCTACAGACCTTTTAGCTTAAAGAATCAAAAGACAGTTTGAAGCAGCCATGTGAAGGAGCGGCCTGGGAAGAGTAAAGCACCCCCAGGTTCCCTGTGCCAACCACCTACATCCCTGCTCATACCTGAATCAATACATGTGAGTCGGGCACTAAGCAGCTAAGCTAAGGATGAAATAATCGTAGAGATTTTAGGTCAGCCTAAAGAATTTATAGTTAAGGTCCAACTAAGATAATTGCCTGCTAAAACAAAAATAACAGAGTTCTTTAGAGGAATATAATAGAATGCCAAGTGTCCACACAGAGCACGTACAATGTCCAGGATACAGTCCAGACTCACTTGGCACACAGGAAGATTCTCAAAAGAAAAAGATGATAAACGGATATTGTGCAGTGACACAGATGTTTAGCAGACAAGGATTTTAAAGCAGTTGTAACTGTGTCCAAGGATGTACAGGAAAATATGCTTTTAATGAATGAAAAGATAGCATATCTCAAAGAAATAGAAACTATAAAAAAAGAACCAACTGGAAATTCTAAAACTGAAAAATGTAGTATCCAAAATAAAATTTAAAATTTTTTACTGAATGAGTTTACCAACTCAATAGAGATGACAGAGTCAAGAAAAGAGTCGGTGTACTTGGAGATGGGTCAATAGAAATCATCTAGTCTAAAGAACAGAGGAAAGAAAAAGATTCAAAATAAAATCTTCATCTTAAGATACTGCATTTTGGGGCGATATGTTGTGCAGTATTTGATAACTAGAATAATTCCTGCAGAATATGGCACAAAACCAAGTGCCACACCAGCTGTTCTTCATTGTATATTATACTATTTCCACTCCTCGTCTGCAAGTCGCTTTGAGTGGAAGACCACTAACCCCCCCGGAAAATTACTGGGCTGATTTTTGTAAGAGAAAGTTTATAGAGAAAGAAACACTTTACGTCTTTAATGACCAAGGCTGTCTTTCTGAAGGAGCACAAAGGAGGTGTTTTTTCCTGTGTTTAACTGTTCTTTTGTTGCTACTTTGGATTGGCCTCTTAGAGGAATAAAATGTATAACCCTTAAAAGGCTTATGAAGTGACTCACTGAGGCCAGGCTCAGGTTGCACCATAAGCAAACATGGAATGGGTCCAAGTGCTGCCCCGGAGAGGGCACGGGGCGCACAGGAAGGCCATGTGTGCGCCTTCACGTGTGCAGCTGCTAATAGCTCTGCTGAGTTCTGAGCAAACACTCTCGAAGTCATGGAGGGGTTTGTGCTTTCGTGCTTTGAGGAGAGGAATGCCTCTGTTTCTCCCACTTTCTTACCTGTGCCAACAAAAGGCCTCAAGCTGAAAGCATTGCCTCCGGGATTGTTTTCTCCTTCCAAAGAGTCAGACACAGCAGCATAGACTCCTGAATGTGCTGGAAGCTTCTTTGTTCTCGTAGTCCAGTCCTGGTTTTAGCTGGTGTTACAGATGTTGGCTCTGCTCATTCGGGGAATGGGATTCACTAGCATTCAGATGACTTGAGTTATAATTTTGGGGACATGGTGATTGTATAGCAGTTGTTCATCACCAGGCTCTTAATTCACACTGGATTTTCTGGATGGATTGCCCCACTTCTACTCAAATTGTGGCTTAAAGGGAAAATTAGCTCTGTCTCTGATGTGAGACTAAAGATCTGGGGGGGGTGGCAAGGGGGGGTAACCATCTAGCTTAACTCAGTTCATCCTTCACCCAGAAGAAAAAGGGGCTGATGATTTGTTTAGTGTCTACTGTGTCCCAGCATTGTGCTTAGTGAATTACGGGATTTCTCAGTTTAGTCTTTGTGTTTAGCCCCACACATCAGGTTCCGCTAACAGCATTTTAGGGAGAAGCCATTCAGTGAGCTGCAGGGCTCAGGGTAGAACTTAGACTTCTCTGACTGTGAGCTCCTGTGCTCTTTCCCCGGTACCATGGTGCCTCTCGTTCGGGAGCTTTCCAAGGGTTTGGAGAAGTTTAAAGTAGACTTCCTCATGGACTTCAAGCGGAAGGTGCTGAAGGCTCGTGAATCTGGGTCTCCAAGGCTAGCCAGGCCTCTGCAGTTCCATCTTCTTTCAAGTTGGGCACTCTGGCAATAGCACATCTGTCTCCAGTTCATCCCTTCATCACATGGGATGCTCCCAGCTGTGGGGTCCTTTGATGAGACAGATGGGTGTCTCCACCTGTGAAACTGTCACTCTAGAGGCATCTAGGTACCATCCTGGCCTCTTTGAACCAGAATTCCGAAACTATCAACGGCACACATTTTCCTAGAATCTTTGTGCATAACCTCACTGCTCTGTGGTTTGATCAGAAGTCAGGTAAGCCCAGCTGGGTCTGTGCTTGTCTAAGTCCATTCACTGCACCGAGTGTGGTACCTACCGGGATGGCACCCTTTACACTTGTGAGGCCCTTTCCCTCTTAGTTTCTTTCCATTGGCATTACTCCACTGGAGCCATGTGACACCTTTGCTTAAAAGGCTGAAAAGATAATTATCATCTTAAAATGAAGAAACCAAGACAGAGAGACAGCAGTTCAACTCAGCTGGCATGTAGTGAGCGAAAGCCACTCTGTGCCCCATGCTTGGGATAAGATGGCCGCCTTCCTAGGTGAGCTCTCGCAGGAGACGTGTGAGACAGGAGCAGCTGAGGATGCGACCCCCTCAGCAGGGATGGGAGCTGGACTGCCTGGAGCTCCGTAGTCCTGGGAAGGGTGATCCTCCTTTCCCTGTGTGCCCTTGTCTATACTCGGGAGTGCGGGTGCAAAGTGCTCAGCGCTGGGCTTCACCCAGTCTTCTCATTGAACTCTTGTGTCAGACACTGGTGGGTTGTCGTGCTTGCTGAATTGTGAAGGTGTCACTAGACTTCCCTTTCCCAAGTCCTGGCAGGGAGGTGGCTCAGTACCTACCGGCTTCTGGTCTTGTCTTGTTTTTGTGCTCGGCTCACATGGCATTTCCTTGCCACACTGTAGTGATTAGTTTACCTTTAACCTTTGTGGACCTGAGATGGAGATTCTGTTTTGGTTTCTGCTGTAAGAAGCACATGGTGTCATGCTGTAAACATGAAGGAAGCATTCTTGGGCATCTTCGTT